GGGGGAGAGGGACAGCACCAGGAGAGCCACGTGAGAATAAACCTCTGCCTTCTGCTCCAGAGGAATCACTGGCCACCCACAATGGTTCCCAGAGCCTGGTTAAGCACACTCTAGCCCAGAGATGAGACGGTGCAGAGGGCATAGAAGGCTCTAGACTCCAGAGAAAGAATGGGGGCTTCTTCTCCACAGGCCTTCCCCTAGTCCCTCCAACTTCAGCAAGCCTCCATCCCCACAGTCCACCCACTTCTTACAGGTATCCCTCTCTCCTTTCTCCTCCCTCCCTTTGCCACCTGTAACCCTTGCCATCCCTGATTCCTTCTCTATTCAGGGAGCCTCTCCCCTCAAGCATCTTTCTGCCTGAACAACCCCTCCTCTGGCAGAGCCCTTGGGCCTGGTATTTGGAGAATGTGGGGAATGCAGTATCTCCTGGCAACAAGGGCAGCCTGAGAGAGGAACCGGTGAAGGAGCTGTACCAGGGCCTCATCTTGGGAGTCTGCCCCCATCCCCATCTCTGCATTCTCTTCTGGCAGGCGCCTTCTCCCAAGCCAGGCACTGCCCCAGAGTGGGGCCCCTTCTTCTGGGCCGGTTGCTAAGAGCTATGTGCTCTCCTGTTTCCGTGCTCTCCTCTGTGTCTAAGCTGATCTTTAATCCCAGTCATGGAGCCAGATTAGCTACCAGAGGGCAGGCAGTCTGGGGAGGAAGGAAAGGGGGACGGGGAGAAAGGTCTCTGGCCTAGGCAAGGCAGACATGGGCATCAGGGCGCAGAAGGGCCCCCGACAACCACCTGGGGGGGGGCAGGCGACAGGTGGGGGGGTAGGGGGCAGGGGGAGCGGGAGAGCGGGGTGCCCTTCCAGATTTACCTTCCTCCAGCGGCAGAAGGGTGATGGCCGTGCTGAGCCGCCCACTGCCCAAGCTCACCAGATGGGGTTTGTCCGTCTGCACTTTCAGCCCTTTGCCTGTCTCGATCAGGTCCAAGGGCCCTTTCTGCGGGTAGTGAGGGCGAGGGATGAGCATCATTACTGACCCCAGGCCAGCGCCTTACCACTGCCGTCCACACACCTGCACCTTCTTCAGCCCTTGTCCCTCTCTAAAGGGACAAGTGAGGTGGCAAAAGGCTTAGCACGAAATCTTGCACAGAACATTATTTGCCTCGGTTGTAATTAGATCTGAATCTAGGCCACTAACTCGTCCCACTGGATTTATCTCCAGTCTTGCCTTAACTGCCCGCTTTGTCTATTAAGACAGAAATGAGGAGAAAGTAAGGGGAGCAGGCTGTGCTGGATGAGAGAGAAAGGGGGCACTGGAGAGAGGACCGATCCAGTCAGGACTAGTGGCTGCAGATTGGCCTGTGGGTAGCCACCTGGCCACAGCTGGCCCTGAGGGTGGGGCCATGGACCTAGGAGAGGGACACAACCCAGGGTCATTGTAAAAAGTGATTCCTGGGCCCTCCTTGGTGGCACAGCAGGTTAAAGCACAGCACTGAGAAGCTTAAGCCAGTTCCGCATGAGTTCAATTCCCGCCTGCCCCGGAGGTGACCACATGGCGTGGCAGACCTCTCCTGACCCGCCCGCTGCTCCCCTCAGCAGTGTACTTCGTCGATCTGCCTGTTCTGCTCCCCACTCTGTCTCTGGCGAAGCCTCTCACAGCCCCTGAGCCTCTGGCCTGTACCCCAGTTCTGTATGCACAAATAAATAAATCTTTAAAAAAAAAGTGATTCCTGACTTGCAAAGGGTATTTTCTAGGTGAAACAATTAACCTAATTCGGATTAACGACTCAGCTAATAGGCCAAGGGACCCGCGGAGGAGCAGAGAGGAATGGCGGTGCAATTGGGTGGGGAACACAGGTGTGTGTAGGAGCTGACCCACCGCCCACCAACAGCCCTCTCCCCCTGGCCTGACCCCACTCACCTGCACCATTGCTTGTGCCTTGCATCCGGGGCCTACCTGGCTCCTACTCAGAGTATTCATGGTCCTGGTGCTCCAGAGCTCCTGGGGACACAGCAGGAAACAGGTGAGGTAGGGCACAGAGGGGGCAGATGCTTCTGAGGGTTGTCGGAGCAGGGCGGCACCCAGCACCTGCGCCATCACTCCCCAGCGTGCTCATGCTGGACAGAAGGTGGAGGCAGCCAGGAGCTCTGTGGGGAAAGGTAGGCCCCGTCCCCAGCCACAGCACTAGTCTGTACCACCACAAGCACTAAAAGCCTCCCAGGGTACCACCTGTACCCGTATGTCCATGCAGGGTGGGAGAAATCTACCTCTGTGGGGGAAGTGAATCAAGGGGCCCCTCCAGGGACCCCTCCAGGGAGGCAGATGTCAGATGGCCTCCACCCAGCCAGGGCAGGGCAGAGCACCCCCCCCTTTCCCAGCCTCTTCTCCTTTGTCTCTTTCCCAGGTGTCTCAGTAGGATGTTTTCTTAAAGGAGACACAACGAGAAACTCAAACATTCCTGCTACCTCTATGTGTCAGCCCTTCCTTCCCAAGAAAGCCATATTACCTGCACACTATTGGCAAAAAAATGAAGCAAAACATAAAACAAAGAAACCAACAAAAAAATCTCAGTGGTGACAGACTGGGAATATGGGACACTGGGGCTCTTAGCCAGACTTGACCCTGTAGGAAGCTCAGAACAAAGGGTAAAGTGTCCAGGTCAGAACCTGGACTTCCTCTCTCCCAGGCTCACGTTTTTGGTACCTGAGCAACGTGAAGAAGGACCTTTGTATACTACATCCCTTGCTAAAGTGAGAAACTTTTCCTCTGCTGCTCAAATGTTACTAGAGAAAACTGAGAAGAGTGTGGCTGGAGAGAGGGAGAGAGGCCCAGGAAGGCTGGGCTTCCCTCCACTTTCTCTTGTAGCCAGCTACCAGGTGACTTGGAGAGGAAGTGGGGGCAGGAGCCAGCATTCCAAGGAGTGTCTGGCCCTGCCAGTGGGACCCTGGGGCCTCAGCCACAGACTTACTAAATTTACCCTCTCAGCTTCCACCCTTCCGGGCTTGAACTACATCATCTCCGTCACCATTTCCACCCAAGCTGGAGGAAGAGAGGCCGGAATAGGGCCTGGGACCCACCCCAAGTCTGCCTGGGAAGAGGGAAGGCAAAGGCATTATTAACCCATCGCAAACACCCAAGCAGTGACTAGCGCCTAGGCAGGAAGAATTTCCGGAGATACAGAGTGGTATTGCTTCTTTCGGTCATGGAAACCCCTCCACATTCTCTGAGGGAGGAAAGGCAAAACAGTGGGGTGGGAATGAGGAATTAATTTATCTAAAAGGAATGAAGGGCCTCCTTGGGGGTGCAGGGGTTAAAGTGTCAGCAATATCAAGCTAGGACCAGTCCCTTGCCATGAGTTCCATCCTGGCCCAGTTGCTGACCCAGGTATGGCACAGCAGACCTCTCCTATCTCCCCACTGCTCCCCTCAGAAGTGTATGTCAGCAGATCTGCCTGTTTTGCTCCCCACTCTGTCTCTGGTGAATCCTCTCACCCCTTGAAGCAACTCTGGCCTAGACCCCAGTTTTATACATAAATAAATCTTTAAAAAATATAAAAGGAGAGCCTCCCTGGTAGCACAAGTGTTAAATAAAGCACAGCACTGTAAGTAGTCTCTGGTGAATCCTCTCACTAGCCCCACACCTCTGACCTGTACCCCAGTTCTTATATAAATAAATCTTTAAAAATAAAGGAATGAGAAAAGCAAAACAAGAAAGAAAGATGAAGGAAAGTCAGTCATTTAGTGGAAAGACTTTAGATTGCCATGCAAGAGCCTTAAATTCCAACCTGACTTTATTATTTACTAGCTGTGAGAGCTTAAGTCATTCCCTATAAAACTGGAATAATGATTAAAAGATCATCTGGTGGCCTCCCTGGTGGTGCAAGAGGTTAAAGCACAGCACTATGAAGCTATCTGCAGCCACTGAAGCAGGAGTTCTATCCCCAGCCAGAGAGGGGCCCCACAAGGCACTGCAGACCTCTCCTGTCCTGCCCCACTGCTCAGCAATGAATTTCATTCATTCTGCTGTTCTGCTCCCCACTCTGTCTCTGGTGAACGCTCCCTCCCCCAGCACCTCTGGCCTGTGCTCCAGTTCTTGTATACATGAATAATTTAACCTTAAAAAAAAATCA